CCTGGGATCAAGCCCCACATCGGGCTCTCTGCTCAGCAGGGAGCCTTCTTCCTTCTCTCTCTCTCTCTCTCTCTGCCTACTTGTGATCTCTGTCTGTCAAATAAATTTTTTTTAAAGATTTTATTTATTTATTTGACAGACAGAAATCACAAGTAGGCAGAGAGGCAGGCAGAGTGGGGGAGGGGGGAAGGAAGGCAGGCTTCCTACTGAGCAGAGAGCCCGATGCGGGGCTCGATCCCATGACCCTGAGATCATGACCTGAGCCGAAGGCAGAGGCTTTAACCCACTGAGCCACCCAGGAGCCCTGTCAAATAAATTTTTTAAAAATCTTAAAAAAAAAAAAATTGACCCTATCCCAACTCTACCTCTAAATTATGCTTTTCCTCATCATTCCTTTCTCCCCACCACAAGAAGGAAACCTTCCAACATTTCAAGGATAAATTTTCACACATATTGTCTTATCTCTTCTCGTTCCCTCTAAAACTGTTCACTCATTATTCCTTGTCCAATGACCATCACCTATCCCCTCCTCCTCAGAAGAGGAAAAAAAGATCCAATTTTTAAAAAATGCAAATAGTTAGGTCTGAGTAAAAGTTTACACTCACAAATTCAAACTAGATCAAAATCTGCACATATTTCTTTACGATTTATTTATTTGAGAGAGAGAGAGAGAGAGAGAGTAAGCAGGGGGAGGGACTGAGGGAGAGAAAGAAAGAATCCTCAAACAGACTCCATGCTGAGTGTGGAGCCCAACTCGGGACTCAATCCTCGGACCCTGAGATCATGACCCAAGCCAAAATCAAGAGCTTGTTGCTTAATCAAATGACAACCCACATGTCCCCACAATCTGCATATATTCACATATGAAATATCTAATAAAACATTTTAATTAAGTGTATTAAACACTTCACAGAAAGTTTCCTTAATTCCTTCATTGTTATGAAAAATAAACCATCCATATCCACAATTCAAACGGTATTATATATGCTCTGAAGAGGTTATGCAAGATCCATTAACAATTAAATGTAATTACTATTTTGTAATCTTTTCTATGTATTTTTGCCTTAATTCACAAACATGGTTTGATACAAAGACAGATAAGACACAGTCCCTGTACTATAAGTACTGATAGATAAGAAAACTAATGATCATAATACAATGTGAGAAGAGCTCTATAAGAGGTGGTTACAGGATACAAAGGCGGTACAGAAGAGGGACATCTGGGACGCCTGGGGGGCTGAGTGGGTTAAGCCTCTGCCTTCAGCTCAGGTCATGATCCCAGGGTCCTGGGATCAAGTCCCACATTAGGCTCCTTACTTGGCAGGGAGCCTGCTTCTCTCTCCACTTCTGCCTGGTTGTGTGCTCGCTCTCTCTCTCTCACAAATAAATAAAAATCTTGGAAAAAAGAAAAAAAAAGAAGAAGAGTGACATCTAACTCAGTCTGAGGCCAGGGTCTTCCAAAAGGAGAAAGCATCTGAGCTAAGTCTTAATGAAGAGAAAAAGCTGGCCAGATGAATGAGAAGTGAAGGTCATGGAGGTATAGGCATCTGCAACAAGTAAAAGCAGACTGTGAAAACCAGAGCCAGTGATGGACCTGTAGGTAGTGTGGTATGACTGAACCACATGGTAAGTGTGAAGGAGTGGTGGGAGATGAGACCAGAAAATAAGGCATTAGCCAGATCGTGAAAAGTCTTGCCAAATGTGCTGAAGATTTTAGAAATTCCTGGAAGACAATCCGGAGTCTTTGAAGGATTTTTAAGAAAGTGATACGTTCACATTTGTATCTTAGAAATGTAATTTAGGGCAATGTTGATATGTAATAAGGTTGAAAGAGGAAAGTAATTTAGAAAATACCATCATAACCCAAATCATTATTTACAAGAGTCAGAACAAAAGCCTTGGTACCAGAAAAGAGGTGGAGTCCACGATTAAGAAATGACAACCAGGGGCGCCTGGGTGGCTTAATGGGTTAAGCCTCTGCCTTCGGCTCAGGTCATGATCCCGGGGTCCTGGGATCGAGCCACACATAAGGCTCTCTGCTCAGTGAGGAGCCTGCTTCCTCCTCTCTCTCTGTCTGCCTCTCTGCCCCCTTGTGATCTCTGTCAAATCAATAAATAAAATCTTTAAGAAAAAAAAAAGAAATAACAATCAATAGAATCTAGTGACTAACAATGTTGGGTAAGTGAAGGAGAAAAGTGAGTCTAGAAAAACTAGATTTCTGCATGGATTTTGCTGCCGTTCATCAAGCCAAGGAATGATGGAAAAGGATCAGGTTTCCAATGGCAAATAATGATGCTGGAGATAGCTGTAGCTTAAAGTCTGATATGACATCAAGAGAGATTTGGATGTCCACTGAACAGTAAGAAATGAGGACTTGGGAACAAGAAGGCAGGGCTGGACAAGAGATACAGACTTGGGGTCAAATACTGTATGTCTGAGAGTTGAAATGATGGGGAACAGAAGTAACCAAGAAAGGGTGTTTGAAGCAAGAACAAGGCTACAGAGAAACCCCAAAGAAGGGTAATCATTTGAAGGCCAGAAAAAAAGAAAGGATTCTGAAAGAGACTAAGGAAAAAATTAGGTGTTTAAATATCAAAAGACATCTCTGGGTTTTTGTGAATATTATGTATTTACTTTAGATTTAGTTTTTCTTAAATAAAGACCATGACCCCAAAGGAGGGAAGAGAGGAAGGAAGGTCATAGCCTGAGCCAAAATTCCATGAGCATTTACAAGCAAGTTTATTAAATTGACCTCTTACTTTTCAGTAGGACGAAGTTCATGGATAACCGCTAAGAGCTTCAACAGCACCTGTAGTTTTCCAGACTCTTCCTCGGTAAACATGAGAGGGTTGTAATCAGTAGGGAACACATCTACCAAGCCTTCATAGAGACTCCTTTCTTCATTTCCATCCCAAGTTGAGCTAAATTCTTTCTCCTATTCAAAAGGATAACTGTTAACACTGGTTCACCTTTGTTAATTAGGAGGGGGAAAATGCTAAAATTATGGGGTTGAAAGTAAAGATGAATAGCTACCTGAGAAGACCAACCTAGCTATTATGTACATCTTTAGAGCTTACTGATTTGGTCATTTTTTGAAAAAGGTAACGTGCATCCCACTGAGTTAATTACAGAGCAACCCTGATGCAGTCCACTAGTGCGGATGATCTTCATCCTACAAGGGCAGCGTTACTGCCCATGTGTTCCTTGGGAAGAGGAGAAGGGAGAGCAGAGAAATAAAAAAGAGAGGAAAATGGGGTCCAAACAGTGATATAACATTGGTTCTCTCCAAAACCCTGAGATTTCTCATCACTGGTACTTCTTTTTCTCTCTCCTCTCCTTCCCTCTGTTATTTTTCTTTCCGACATTTGTGAGCATCTCACAGCACCTCCTGGGTTATATTCAGAATCCAGCATAAGAGTTTACTCAATCTTAACAATTTCTTCTGCACAAAGGAATAATTCTGCCTAAGTTAACAGAGATATATAATCATGTAATCTTACCTATACTATTTTTGTTTATATTACCAGCAGTTTTTAGAATAATTTTATTCCAAAGTGCTTACGGTTATCAGTATCTCTGAAGTTCCTCCTCCAAAAGTACCTAGCTAACATGTGAATACTTAACCAGAAATACACTTACTAATAACTACATCACTTTTCATTTATTTTTTTAAAAGATTTTATTTATTTATTTATTTATTTGACAGAGAGAGACCTAGCAAGAGAGGGAACACAAGCAGGGGGACTAGGAGAGGGAAACCAGTCTTCCCGCTGAGCAGGGAGCCCAGGACGCCGGGATCATGATCTGAGCGGAAGGCCAATGCTTATCGACTTAGCCATCCAGGTGCCCCTACAGCACTTTTTAGATTAAATTTCTGAGACTGGCTGGTCTCCTCACTTTCTTCCACACTTACTGGATTCATCACTGTTTTTAAAACTTTGTTCAACCTACTCCACCTGTCAGGAATGCTTCCTCATTTTCCTGTCCAATTATCTCAATCCTGTAAACACTTAAGGATCCATTGCAAATCCTACCTTATTATTTACAGCCCTTTTTGGGGGAAAGTGGCAGACATTTACTCTTAAACTTTATGGTTACAAAGTACACTTTGGCTTTGACCCTATTTGGGAAGTCATATGCTTTATTATACTTCCCTTGTTTTCATGTGTACTGTATTCCGTCTTTAATAATTCCAGGAACAGGGGTGCCTGGGAGGCTCAGTCAATTAAGCATCGGACTCCAGATTTTGGCTCAGGTCATGATCTCAGGGTCCTGGGACCAAGCCCCACCTCAGGCTCCACATTCAGCAGGGAATCTTCTTAGATTCTCTCTCTCACTTTACCCCTTCCCCCAGAGCCCCACCCACCACCCACCATCCACCACCACCCGGCTCACATGCAGGCTCTTTCTTTCAAATAAGTAAATCAATCTTTAAAACAATAATAATAATTCCAGGAACATCTTAAGGGCAGTGAATCCTCTAGTGTAAGATGCTGGGCACAAAGTACTAATTTTAATTTGGCTTATTCCCAAAATATAGTAATAGTTGGGTAAAGTCACTTGATTGAAAATACCTGGAGCCCTAAAATATTAATATTACTGGGATGTACAAGGGGAAAGAGACAGTTGCTGGCTGCTTCGGATTAGGTCTGCTAAAATGTCGATATCTTGGAGAGATCATCAAAGGACCACAGACAGACTCAGGATCTAGTGCACAACTTTTCATGTTCAGAAACTGAACATGCTTAAGCTCTAGGCAAATGAGCCATACTCATCAAATTAAGAGACTAAGAATATAAATTTATTGACCTTCAAAGGAGACCTGCCTATTTAAACCAATTGGTCATATGCATTCATATGCATTCTGTCATATGAAACCACAAGGCAAACCAAATCATTAACAGAAAGTTGTCTTGTGAATATTAAACTGAAATACAAGGAAGATGGTGATCTTATGGCACAAGTTGTTAACCAGGAACACATAACCAGAATCCCTTGGGGAATCACTTTTTCCATATCTTCATAGTTGGGTCCTACTCTCAGATTCTGAATCAGTCCATATGTATTGAGGCCTGGACAAAAGTAGTTTTAAAAGCTTTCCAGATTATAACGCATAAGACCCCTAATTAAGAATCAACTAATAGGTAATATCTTTATGCTGGGACAGTCTGATGTATCAACTCCATCACAGGGATTTACCAGTTAGTCCTCTCACATCAGCTAGTCACAGCACTTGCTCTTCTGACTCTCTATAGTCAATACCCTTCCATTATCAGTTACACTTTTTTTGGTTATAGTCCACTCACATTTCCTGAAAAGAAACCCATTACCTTGACTGAACTTGGGTGGGGGAAGAAACTAGTTTCAACTGGAATACATTTATAAAAGCACTGCTTAAAGGGTACTTATACATGAGGAAGGCTCATTTCAGCCATTTTCCATCAATCCTCATTTGCTTTGATGTTAGAGGAAAGGCTTTATTTGCCAGGTTGTAAATTATGTACCCTCTCTAAAGCTTGTAGTATCCTATGTCTGTTACTAGTTAACTGGTGCATTCTGGGCCATGATAAAGTTTACCTTTTAAGGAAGAATTTGGGGCTTCTATTTTTGCTGGGCGCCATGCCCAAAGGGTTTAATTTTTATCACTGTATATAAAATCTGTTTCTTAAAAAGGTGATTAATAAATGGTTATAATCCTACCTACTTAAGAGTTACAGACTTCTCCTATGATAAACTATGTAAATATAACTCATTAAGGATAAACTTGAAGAATTCTGGTAGAACACTCCATTTTTGAAATATAAAACTAATGACCTCAAGCATAATGCAGCACCCACAGGTTTTCTTTCGTTTTGTTTGCCAATTACGATTTTACTATTTAAAGAAAAAAAATAAAAGAATAAAAGTTGTTTTTGTTTGTTTTTATAAAAGTTGTTTTAATAAAGTGTTAGGAATGAGCTAGGGATAAGAGAATATTAATAGTTACTGTGTAACTTCTATGGCCAGGCGTTCTGCTAGGTTCTTTCCATACTATTTCATCAAGTTGCCACAATAACATCAGGAAGTTATTATTGTCTCTGCTTTAGAAATAAGAAGAATAAAGGCTCACAGATGTAATTTGACCGTAATTAAATTTGCCCTTAAAGAACTGGTAAACAGTAGAGCGGAGACTGATACCCAGTTCTAATTCCAAAACAGAAAACTCTCACTATACTCCAAACTGCCTTATGTTTGTTAACTATTCAAATACTAAGTTCAACTATACAACCATTAAAAATCATACTTGGAGAAGATTTCTAATTTGAGAAAATGTTCATGATTTATTTGTGAAAAAGTAGATTTTAAAATAGTAAGCATAGCATTATTAAAATTAAATTTCTCAGGGCGCTCAGTGGGCCAAGCCTCTGCCTCTGCTAGGGTCATGATCCCGGGGTCCTGAGATCGAGTCCTGCATCGGGCTCTCTGTCAGGGAGCCCGCTTCCTCCTCTCTCTCTCTCTGCCTGCCTCTCTGCCTGCTTGTGATCTCTGTCACATAAATAAATAAAATCTTAAAAAATAAAAATTTAAAAAATTAAATTTCTCTAGAGCCAGATTATATATATGCATATTTCTGAGTCCCTGTTCTCTCACCATAAAATGGGGAGAGTAATAACAATACTTACTCCGCAGAGTTTTATAAAAAATATGCAAAATAATACTAGAAAAGCATTTAATTTGGTACATCACAAGTGCTTATTAAGTACTGGCTAAGATTATTAATATCAAAATATGGGGTTTTTTTTGGCTAGCGAGCTTTATTTCTTTATAATAAATTCTTAAACATACTGCCAAGGCCACAAAACATATACAATGTTAAGGCTTTGATATGTATTGCCAACTATCGGGGCGCCTGGGTGGCTCAGTGGGTTGAAGCCTCTGCCCTTGGCTCAGGTTGTGATCTCAGCGTCCTGGGATCGAGCCCCGCATCAGGCTCTCTGCCTGCTTCCCTCTCTCTGCCTGCTTCTCTGCCTACTTGTGATCTCTCTGTCAAATAAATAAATAAAATCTTTATATTGCCAACTATCTCTCAGCTGTACCAATTTACATTCTAACCAGCAGATGACTTTAATTTTCTTCTGATTTTCTGAATTTTGTAAATTTCATACAAATTGTATGTATCATGTGTTACTTTTATAAGGGTAAAAAATTAAGTTATTTTCAATGGTAAATTTTGTATGTGTCTGCACCAAACAAAACTGACTGGCTGTATAAAATAGGGAGAGAAATCACAGCAAATTATTAGACAAGATACCAAAGGGCATGGGGCAAACTCTAGAAGGCAGTGCCTCACATCCATTTCACCCCTAGTTCTGTCCAGTATGGACAGTCTCTCAACAAACAGAAGACTGGATAAGCTGTACAGATGAAAAATATAGGAGAGGCGGTAAAGCTTTTGGAAAACCCAAAAATGCAATCCCCTGGGATTGGCCCAATCTACCAATCAGATTCATGTGATACAAAACCCTGAGCTTATATTCTTGACACAGTCTCACATGCTACTTACCTTTATAGAGTTGAACAACAGGCAGGGGTGATTGCACAGTTTTTTAAGAGCTCCTATACATATTAGATGAGGACTATTTCCCAACAATCCTCGAAGGCAGAACTTAACAGCTTGAGAATTCAACAGCTTTCGATAAAGTTCAATCTGTAGCACTCCTGGTCGGCAAAAGACTACATTCTCTATTTTAGGTGGAAGATATTTATTAATGACTTCTTGGGTTCTTCTAAGGATAAAGAGTCCAGTGAGGCAAGTAAGTTCAGCTGCTCTTTTCTCTCCTAACTCTTTTTCTTCCTACGGAAAAATTCGCAGACTTAAAAGTGTTATAAACAAACAGTGCTTGCAATTAAAAGGGATATTAAACTTCTTATAATAATAAAACATTTACTAATTATGTCCCTTCAGATTTTTTTTTTAAATATGGGATAGAAAAACCAACCATCATCTCTTTAAATGTTCAGCATAATCATTTAATTAAATGAAGCCAGTCTCCTAAATCCTTGTTTGGCTATTGGCACCATTGAGAACCATCAGAAATCAACAATCCACACACAAAAATTATTCTAAAAGTAAGCTTTTATATGAAGATTGTCATGGTACATAATCTTAAAATCATCAACAAAGAACTAATTCAACAAATAGCAAATTCTTGGAAGCAAATATTTTGACACGTTATTGATCCTAAAATTAAACCTATGAGAAATCACTGACAAAAGGCACAGCTAATTCTTTCAAAATCATTACACATTGTTCATTAGAAATGTTAGTTTCTGACAAAAGACCTCAATGTGAGACAGGAATCCATCAAAATCCTCAAGGAGAACATAGGCAGTAACCTCTTCAATATCAGCTACAGTAACTTCTTTTAAGACACATCTCCAGGGGCGCCTGGGTGGCTCAGTGGGTTAAAGCCTCTGCCTTCAGCTCAGGTCATGATCCCAAGGTTCTGGGATCGAGCCCCGCATCGGGCTCTCTGCTCAGCAGGGAGACTGCCTCCTCCTCTCTCTCTGCCTGCCTCTCTGCCTACTTTGTGATCTCTATCTGTCAAATAAATAAATAAAATCTTTAAAAAAAAAAAAAAAAAAAGACACATCTCCAAAGGCAAGGGAAACCAAAGCAAAAATGAACTTTTGGGACTTCATCAAGATCAAAAGCTTCTGCACAGCAAAGGAAACAGTCAACAAAACAAAGATGCTACCCACGGAATGGGAGAAGATATTCGCAAATGACACTACAGACAAAGGGCTGATACCCAAGATCTATAAAGAACTTCTCAAACTCAACACAAAAAAAAAGATAAGTCAAAAAATGAGCATGAAGACATGAACAGACACTTCTTCAATGAAGATATACAAATGGATAACAGACACATGAAAAAAAGTTCATCATTAGCAATCGGGGAAATTCATATCAAAACCACATTGATATCACCTTACACAGCTAGAATGGCAGAAGTTAACAAGGCAAGAAACAGCAAATTTTGGAGAGGATGTAGAGAAAGGGAAACCCTCTTACTCTGTTGGTGGGAATGCAAGTTGGTGCAGCCACAGTGTGGAGGTTCCTCAAAAAATTAAAATTAGAGCTATCCTATGACCTGGCAATTGCACTACTAGGTATTTGCCCCAAAGATTAGATGTAGTGAAAAGAAGGGCCATATGCACCCCAATGTTCATAGCAGCAATGTCCACAATAGCCAAATTGTGGAAAAAGCCGAGATGCCTTCAACAGACGAATGGATAAAGAAGAAGTGGTCCATACATACAATGGAATATTACTCAGCCATCAGAAATGATGAATACCCAACTTTTGCATCAACATGGATGGGACTGGAGGAAATTATGCTGAGTGAAATAAATGAAGCAAAGTCAATTATCATATGATTTCACTTACTTGTGAACATAAGGAATAGTATGGAGGATATTAGGAGAAGGAAAGGAAAAATGAAGGAGGATAATTGGAGAGGGAGATTAACCATGAGAGACTGTGGACTCTGAGAAACAAACTGAGGGTTTTAGAGGGAAGGGGAGAGGGGAATGGGTTCACCCAATGATGGGTATAGCACATACTGCATGGAGCAGTGGGTGTTATATATAAACAATGAATTTTGGAACACTACATCAAAAACTAATGATGTACTGTATGGTGACTAACATAACCTAATAATTAAAAAAAAAAAAAAGGGATGCCTGGGTGGCTCAGTCAGTTAAGCCACTGCCTTCAGCTCAGGTCATGATCCCAGAGTCCTGGGATCGAGTCCCACATCGGGCTCCTTCCTCAGTGGGGAGCCTGCTTCTCTCTCTGCCTCTGCCTGCCACTCTGCCTACTTGTGTTCTCTCTCTCTCACTCTCGACAAATAAATAAATAAATAAATAAAATCTTTAGGAAAAAAAATGTTAGTTTCCAATTTGTCTGTTTCCTTTAGTTAGTTTCTAAGTTCTTACCACAGTACTTCAAGTCAAAATACAATATAAGTGAAATATATGTTTAAATTCTCTTTTGAGCATACATAACTTCACAGTGAAGCTTAAAATAAATCCCATGTGTAAAAAGTCATAAAAAATTCCCCTCATGTTAAAACTATTTTCAACTTTTATTACAAAATAGGATCAGTGAAGAAAAGTCAGAAAATATAGTTATGTAAAATAAGAAAATTAAAACCAACTTTAATCAAATAGAAACAACCTCTGCTGTCATGACTTCTAAATCTATCTCCCAAGTCTTTTTTCTTTGTCAATATGTAAATATATTTAACAATTTATTTTTACTTTTATTTTCCTGTTTGTAACAAAACAGGTTCTCTATAGTTTAAGCTTCATGGGAACAAGGCACCAGTCAGTTTGGCTCTTCACTGTATCCCCTAGCATCTAACACTTTGCATTTGGCCCACTACAGGTGTTTAACGTGTAAGTGTTAAGTTAATAAATGAATGTGATTTTACTTTTAAATAATGTATGATGGATATTTTCCATGCTATTAAATATAGTCATAAGCTGTTATTTTGTACAGTTCATGGGAAATGCTCAATAAATATTTGCTGATTATCATATTTTATTAATTCTGAGACTTTTTTTTTTTACACTTTAACTTCTCTGATATAGGTTGCTTTTTGTAAGCAATGACTTCTTATAACTACGATTGATAGCATGTTTTCCTTAGTGGTTCATAAAATAACAATGCATCTTAGAATTGGTATTATTTTGATTCAATGAAATATTGTGTATACAACATGAAGACTCTGCTTTAACCATTTTCCTACCTTTAGAAATGTCTGTTTCCAATTTGTTTGTTTCCTTACACTTCTTTTTTTTCTTTTTAAGATTTTATTTACTTATTTGACAGACAGAGATCTGTCAAATAAGTAAAAGTAGGCAGAAAAGCAGGCAGAGAGAGAGAGAGAGAGGGAAGCAGGATCCCCACTGAGCAGAGATCCTGATGCAGGTCTCGATCCCAGGACCCAGAGATCATGACCTGAGCAGAAGGCAGAGGCTTTAACCCACTGAGCCACCCAAGCGCCCCTCTTTATACTTTTTTACCCTTACACAACACAGCTAAAATCTTTAAGCACATCTACAATTATTTCTCTATAATAAATTCCTGAAAGTGGTATTGTCACACCACAAAATATATACAATTGTAAGGCTTTTGATACATGCTGCTCAACTATTCTCCAGTTGTACCAATTGACATTCCCAACAGTAGAGGACAGTACTCTCATCTTTACTTGCTATTCCTATGTAAACTGAGCCAACTAAAACACCAGTAGAAGATTATAAAAGTTATTTTATGGTTATTTTGGTGTATTTTTTTTCAGTACCAGTAAAAATGAATGTTTTTATATATGTTTACTACCATTTATAATTCTTTGTGAAGTACCTAATAAAGTACCTACCTGTGATTTTTTTTAATGTGGTATTTTCTAAAGTAAAGAATGCAGGAAGACTCAGTTGAAGTATTGTGGGGAAAGTAAAGAATTCACTAATTTAATTTTTTCTGAATTAAATAATGCCCAAGTTTGTGGATAACTTTCCTGGGCATACTGCTTTTTTTTAACCTTTTTATAAAAGTAAATTATACCTCAGAAGCAGAAGGCTGTCTCGATATAATAATGGGTTCTTCATATATTTTTCTGTAAGATGACAAAGAACCTAGTATTCCTGGATTTACAAAATCAATTAATGCAAAAAATTCTTGAAGATCATTCTGAACTGGAGTACCTAAAGAAAGAAAAAAGTGATGAAAGGTCAAATTTGTGTTTTACAGTCACAGGTATTTATTGAAAGTTGTACTCTCCTCCCTAAGAGAACTAAAATAAAGGCTTTAGAACTGAGAAAGAGCACCCAAAGCCAATGGAACAAAAAATATTAA